TCTTTCTTTCTTTCTTTCTTTCTTTCTTTCTTTCTTTCTTTCTTTCTTTCTTTCTTTCTTTCTTTCTTTCTTTCTTTCTCTCTCTCTCTCTCTCTCTCTCTCTCTCTCCCCCCTCAATCCCTCTCCTCCCTCTCTCTCCCTCCCCCCTCTCTTTCCCTCCATCTCTGTGTCTCTCTCTCCATCTCTGTCTCTCCCTCTTCCCCCCTCTCTCCCTTCTTCTCTCCCTCCCTCCCTCTACCCCCTCCCCTCTGTCCCTCCCTCTGTCTGTCTCTCTCTCTCCAGAATATATTCTGATAATCAGATATCCTGATGGAGAGAAGTTGCCTGAGGATGGGCTCCAGCACGAGGAGTCTGAAAGCTCGGAGGCCCAAACTTCCAGTCTTGGTGACCTGCCCAGATTGGATCCTGCAGGCTCTCCTGATTTCACTAAGTAAGGGTTGTGACTCGATTCAACCCAAGGGTTCTTGGAGAATTAGCACCTGGCAACATTAATCCCCCTGAATTTTGAGGAAGGCCCGGCTTAAACATTTTTTTTAAAAAAAGGATTGGCTCCATCAGTGATGTTGAAGTGCTACCGAGAAGGCTTTGCGGTCACTATGTCGGTGTTTCTCAACCTTGGTGAGTTGAAGATGGGCGAACTTCCGACTCCCAGAATTCCCCAGCCAGCATCACTCAAGGTTGAGAAATACCCTTAAGGAAAGGAAGCGGAGACAAGTCTTAATAAAATAGGCTCAAATATTATTTACATTTTGGGGGTTGATGGCGTGAGCCCTAGAGAACGGGAGTCCTGAATGGTAGGAGTATGCCTGCTTTGATGGAGGGAAGGCGGACATTGGGCGAGAACTGAATGGCCCTGGATGAAATCATCCTCTTGCTGACTTCCCTTGTTTCGGGAGTGGAGGTTATTTTAGAATATTGCCATGTTGCGCCTCTTTTCATAAAGACCAAGATCCTTCCTGATGCGGCACAGATGTTAGAAGTCAACGCTCTGCTGCCAAAACACATATGCAGAGTGAAATCACACCTTGTGGGTGACTCATGGGAAATGTGGCTGTAATTTTTAACAACATTCTGTCATCCAGAAACAATGACGGTGTCAAGACACTTCCTGTACCCTCCTTGGTTTTTTGTTTTTTTTATTTTTAATAAAAGCAAAGCAAAACCGAACATTTACTAGAAAGTTCAAAATGGAGGATTGGTCCGGGAAGCGTCCTCGCCATGATATTCTTCTCCATGTTCATTCATATAATTTGGTTCCCCTCATTCAAAAAAAAATTTTTAACAGAAGAATCTATTTTTATTCTCCATGGATGGAGATGATTCCAGTGGGATGAAGATCTGGAATCCTATATAGTTCACTCCTTGATTGGTCTTAGCCAGGGGTTGTAATACATTGGATATAAGAAGACAAAATAATTGCCATGAGCAAAAGGTGTTCAGGATTACCGTGTGGGCAGAACCCTTTGCAGGTGCTGGCGATCTTGAGTTGTCTCTTGCTGGTCTGTTGGGCTGAATTGTGGGTAACTCTTGTGATGCGGAAGGGAGGTTCCAGGTTTAACTCTTGTGTCCCTTGAGCAGAGAAGACCTAGGATGGATCTGGGCAGCTTACCCAGGGCATGTCTTCTCCAACAAGGAGAGGGACGCTGTATTTGACCTGCTCCAGTTGGGATGGAGAACATTTCCCTGCTTTATACTATCCAGGAGAGCTTCCTCCAGGTGGAAAGATGGAGTAACCCAGGGTTGTTTCATAGTGGCTTCCGCAGAACTGAAGGGTTCCGCACGAACTTTATGGGCTTCTGTGAGAGATTAAGAAAGAAGAAAAGCTAGGTTTGCTATGGGAAGGGAGATTTTGGGAACATCGACAGATCAGCTTTTATAGAGGCAATGGAAGTTGTGGTCCACATAAATATCCTGAAAGAATAATTCACCTATTTAAGCAGAGGGTGGGTGCAGCGGAGAGCAAGGGCCACTTGAAGATGCAGTGTTTGAGTGTTGGCTGTTCAAGAAAACACTTCAGAGCTGAAGAGTTGAGGGTTGGCAACCCATTCATGCCTTCTGAGAAGCAGATAGTAATCACAACATACCAGAGACAGAAGCTTGGAGGCTCCTGAACTCTCCGGCGATCGACCTTGCAACCTTGCTTTTAAGACTTGAAAGAGCTTTTCTTCCTGAGGTGGTTTTCCTCAACATCGTTCTCTGTTAAGGAATGAATTCTGTACAAGCCATCGTAGGGCTGCAGTGTTACTCACGGAGGATAGGTCAGAAGCCTCGCGGTGCTTCTGGAAGACAACAAACCAGCCATTCTGGGTAGTTTGGTTTTTCTATGGAAGTTTGCAGTGTTCCAGGAACACCTGGAGGGGCCAGAGCACATCTGGAAGACTACAGCAAGCAGGTTGAGCCTCCCAGAATGAACGGTTGCTAGAGAGATGTTTGTAAGGCAAGGACTATCTGGATGTTCCTTGCTTTCTGTTGAAGGAGTTGAGGAGAAGGGCATCCATGTGTGCACATGGAGTTAAGTTCCCTCCAAAATTTCAACGTTTGGAGGAGATACCTTGCCTAGGATCCCTGATAGCCAATGCTACCCTTCTTCCCATGTTTGTTTTGTACTTTTCTTTGATGGACGTTTGCTTGTTTTTTGTTTATTTATTTGTATCCTGCCTTTATTTATGTTTACAAATAATTCTAGGCAGCGAACATATCCAACTCATCTTCCTTTTCCTGTTATCCCAACAGCAACAACTCTGTGAGGCGAGTTGGGCTGAGAACGAGAGATTGGCGCGAAGTTACCCAAATTGTTTTCATGGCTAAGGCAGGACTAGAACTCACGGTCTCCTGGTGATTGGCCCAAAGTCACCCAGCCATCTTTCATGGCTAAGGTGGGACTAGAACTCACAATCTCCCACTTTCTAACCTGGTGCCTTAGCCATTAAACCAAACCGGCTCTCGGTTTATGAGAAATACCATATGTGGTGATGTCTTTTTAAAATTGCAGCCTGCATGCCCTGTGATATGTTAACTGGAGGAGTCAAATGCTTTAATGAAACACAAGGATTTATTTTAATGATGGCAGTAGATTCCAGAGTGATTAAAAAATATTCTATCAAGCTAGGTTTTTCCTTACATTTGTCATAAGCTCTACTCTAGGTTTTCCTTTCTGCACGAAACTATCTGAATTTATTTTTTTCTGCCAGAAATTTAGTATTCATTTTTCTTTTGGAAATCATCAGGTTTTTCCATAAAAGCATTAGGACTTTGTCCCGATTTAGCCAGCAATAAGGCCAAGCACATGAATGCACAATCAATAATTGTCATTGCAAGGATAATCCTATCTTTGTAATGGCAGCCATAATCATATCATTCTCGTACCTTCTCACGTCTTCAGTGGTGATGGCTTTTGGTACAGATCTCTTGACCTTTCAGGAAACTGTTGTGTTTACCAGGCAACAGTTGAAGTCGTCAATTCAAGGAAGTGTGTTGCATACAGTGGTCTCTTCTCAGATAATTTTTGGTAGAGGTAATGGTGCCCTCTACTTGCAGGAAGTGGCTCCATCAGAGCTCAGCCAAGTTCTAGGCTGGGTTTTGTAGCTTTCTTGTTCATTTGTGGAGAAAAGCAGCTGTTAAAACCAATCTTGCTTTGACCATTGATTATTTCACCCAGGATAAATTAGTGCTGTGTGCTGGAAGACAACCAAATTCAGCGAGTAACGAGAACGTATCTGCTCAACGTCGAGGAGATTCTCTGCTATTGCAATACATGAGCATATTAGCTGTGCTTGGGAAGGAGAGTTAGAATAAATATAGCTTCGTTTTTTTTAATGTTGTACACCCTCAAGATTGTATGCATGGTTGCCTCTCTTCTGCTAGGCCTAGTCCAGAGTGGGGAGATGTTCATCACTGATTCACATTAGGGGATTGGAGGCTAAAGCATACAAAAAATAATTGCTGGACTCGGCTGTGTCTAATTGAATGAAAAGAAGGACTGTGTGTTGGGGACATGATAGCCATTTTCCAATATCTGAGGGTGTTGCCACATAGAAGAGGAGGTCAACCTATTCTCCAAAGGGCAGGGCAAGAATCAATGGGTGGAGACTGATCAAGCAACCCTAGAACTAAGGAGGAATTTCTTGACAGGGAGAACCATTAATCAGTTGCAACCACTTGCCCTCCAGAAGTTGTGGGTGCTCCAACACTGGAAGAGGTTGGATGTCTATTGTCTGAAATGGTATAGAAGGCTTCCTACCTGGGCAGGGGGTTGGACTAGAAGACCTCCAAGGTCCCTGTTCTGTTGCATTAGATTCATGGGTCTGGAAGGACAATGAATTGCTGGTTTTGTGACAACGCCATTGGCTCTTTCACCGGTTCTTTATTTTCTCTCTCTCTCTCTCTCCATCTTTCAGCATTATAGACACTGAGATATCTGACATAGTTTTCATATTTTTTGGAGTGGCGTGGTCAGTGGGGCCCAATCAGCCAATAGGGGCAAAGGGAAGGGCAGCACATTCTTTAAATGTTGGAGAAAGGATTGAGATTCCTTAAGTTGTAGGAGGACATAAGTGTCTCATTTCTGTCAGGAAGCTTAGGAACTTGGAAGACTTCTAGGCCAGAGATGTCCAACCGTGGCAACTTTAAAGACTTATGGACTTCAACTCCCAGAATTCCCCAGCCAGCCATGCTGGCTGGGGAATTCTGGGAATTGAAGTCCACCAGTCTCAAAGTTGCCAAGGTTGGAGCCCTCTGCCCTAGACCATTCCAGACAAAAGAGTTGTCCAAACTCTTACACATCCGGAAGGGCCAGTTCTCCGACGCCTTCAGTGGGTGCTTTTCCAGCAACAAGAGCCCAAACAGGTTGTTTATTCCCCGTTTTGGGCCACATCCCACACAGTAAGATCTTTGTTTATGAAATGCCTGGATTTCCTCGTTAGAGCCCGTTGTTAACGGCTGCCAATTTGAAAAGGGAGTGTGTTGTTTCTCTTGATGTAGTCACCGGAGTAGAGAGGAGGAAAGAATAACCAAGCCGGGAGCTGTTTCCACGCCTGTGAAGAATGCGGAGGAAACGCCTCTAGCCAAAGCCGTAGAAGAATCCGTAGCCGAGAAAAACGACAAACAGACCCCACCACTTCCAGGTGAGGATTAAGCCACCGCTTCATTGCTTTGATTTTTGCAGAGGAGGCAATCCTTCGACTTAGGCGGGGTCCAGTGGCCTAGAAGGTGGTCACAATCAGGAAGCTGTGAGAGTTCAATAGCAGTAGCGCTTAGACTTATATACCGCTTTATAGTGCTTTACAGCCCTCTCTAAGTGGTTGACAGAGTCAGCCTCTTGGCCTCCATTTTACTGACCTCGGAAGGATGGAAGGCTGAGTCAACCTTGAGCCTGGTGGGATTTGAACTTGCCAAATTGTAGGCAGCTGGCTGCAGAAGTAGCTTGCAGTACTGCACTCTAACCACTGCGCCACAGAGGCACTCTGTCAATCCTAGGCAGAGGCAGATATTTCTCTCTCTGGGCACAATGAGAAATATATCTGCTGAACAAAACCCCACTCCGGTGACAGGAAGGGCATCCGGCCAATAAAACACTAGCTCCATTCAGTTGCCCAGACTCCACCCCGCAGGGGATTATGGGTGCTTTAAGTGACGATAATGATGACAGGCAGTCCTCGACTTAACGACCACAGTTGACCCCAAAATCTTGCGAAGTGAGAGACGTTGTTAAGTGGATTTCTCCCCATCCTTTCCTGCCCCCGTTGTTAAGCGAATAACTGCAGCTGTTCAGTTAGCAACCCCGGTTGTTAAGTGAATCTGGCTCCTCCCGTGGACTTCGCTGGTCAGATGGGGATCACAGTTGCCAAGGGTCTTAAATTCCAATCACGTGACTGTGGGGATGCCACAACGGTTGTAAATGTGAAAAAAAAAGGCTCACAAGTTGCTTTTTTCAGTGCCTTTATGCCTTTGAGCGGTCACTTTGTACCTTTGAACGGTGCACACAGGCACACATATATGGTTGCATGTCTGAATGAAGATACACCCAAGGAAACTTGTTCTTTATCGGAACCGGCTAATTTATGGACCCAGATTGGCGTGTTCTTAATTAAGGCTGAGATTATCTCCTGGCACCCAACCAAACATTCCATCAGAGAATCCCTCCTTATTTACCTTCTTCCCCAACTTCCTATTATCTGCACTCCTACATTTATGTGGTCTCCCACGCTCCAAATTAGCAGCCAGATGGTGATGGAGGAGCTCTGTAAACAGCTGCTTGAACTCCCTCCTAATCTCTGTTGTTAATATTTGTGAATTGTGTAACAGTAATGAACTTGAGACGGGCCAAATGTTTTCGTTCCTGCTCTTCCACCCTGTCTGCCTTCGGTAATTACGGTGATGCGGGATGCAAGGCTGTTTATTGTGTAGTTGGTCTAGTAGTATCTCGCCTTTTATTCCACAGATCAAGGGAAAAGGTACGTAATAGGCAACGACCTCCTGGTTCGTGGCGATCCTTGGTGCTCTTTGAGCTTGGTGGTTTCCCGGCAGGCATTTTATTACCCAACTAGGTAACATCATCAAGCCGCTTATAGAGAAAGAGAGAGCCAACCCCACTCCTTTCTAGCACAGATGAGGTTACCAAGCTGGGTCATGAAAGGTCAGCAAGAAAAAAAAAAACCAAGCTCAAAGAACCCCACAGTCCTCTTCCTCCTCCTCATTTTTACAAACTCCCTTCCCCTCTAGCCTTGATGAAGTTACCTAGTTGGGCCATGAAATGTCTCAAGAAATCAACCAAGCTTAGAGAACACCAAGGACCGTACTACAGTCCTCCTCTTCCTCCTCCTGATAATGTTCCCTAGTTAGGTGATGAAATGTCTGCAAGAAATCAACCAAGCTCAGATAGCACCAAGGACCAGTCCTCCTCCTCCTCCTCCTCCTCCTCCTCCTCCTCCTCCTCCTCCTCCTCCTCCTCCTCCTCCTCCTCCTATTATTCCCTAGTTGGGTGATGAAACATCTGCAAGGAAACCTTTTCATTAGAAGGGCATCCTTCATTCCCTACAACGTTTTGTCCAAACAGAACCGAAGCCCGTCTATGCGCAGGTCGGACAGCCCGATGTGGATTTACCCGTCAGTCCCACCGATGGCCCTTTACCAAACTCAACGCATGAAGACGGGATGCTTCGGTAAGGGGATATTTTCGCCCGTTCCAGGTCTCACGTTGGCCCAGGTGCTAAACTTTTGCTGATGCGCCCTCATCTTCATGGACCACGCAGAGTGGACGATGGTTTCCTGGCCAACAATAAAGCTACTGGGACCGCGACTCTCTGGGCCTCAGTACAATGTCACATAAGTGTTTCAAATTTAATTTTTATATTTGCTCTATAGTTATTGAAAGTGTTTTATTTAGACTATTGTGCAAATTCAAATGGTATATTTTCTCCTTTTAACGTAAGATGTTCTGGACTTGTGGGGGCGGGGAGAATAAATAAGGGGTATCCTTAATGGTGTGTGTGTGTGCCTGCGCTGTCCAGGCAGTATATAAGTCATGGGAATTGAGATAGTTAAGTTAGAATTAGGAACTGTCCCCTTAAGGGAATGCCTCATGGTAAATGTCATTGATGCATCCTGGGAAATGTAGTTCATGTCATGTGGTCACACCTGTAATCCTGATTGGTCACTTAATTGACCCTTGGTTGGGTTGGGTTGAGTTCTTTCACTCTCGCCTGGACCCCAGCAGCATTCTGGTGCCTCACCCCCACTTGCTCCTTCCTTATGGGATGAAAGATCAGACAGATTAAACTCTACAAAGTCTTCCATACAAAGTTCCTTTATTGGTTCACAAGGCATCCTCAAATATAGCTCACAGTTAACGTCGAGATTCATCTAATGTCCAATTCTTTGTGTAGCTGACTTCATAGCGTAAAAGAATAGTGATATTTCAGAACGCTGCTGGGGTCCAAGCGAGAGTAAAGGCAACTCCCCCAACCCAACCAAGGGTCAATTCAGTGACCAATCAGGATTACAGATGTGACCACATGACATGAACTACATTTCCCAGGATGCATTAATTACATTTACCATGAGGCATTCCCTTAAGGGGACAGCTCCCAATTCTAACTTAACTATCTCAATTCCCATTACTTACATAGTGTCTGGACAGCACAGTGCCCCTAGAAAGCCAGTCTTCTTTGGAGGTAGATTCTGGTTGCCCGGCAGAGGGTCTACCTCGCCGTCGGCTGTTTACAAGCTCGATCGACCCCAGTTTTATGCTGTGGTTGTTGGGAAGTGTTTTGTCTTTCTGAGTGACAATTGTGAGCCATTCTGGAGTCGCAGGCCAAGAAAGTGCCACCGTGTCTGCCTGCTGTGAGAAGTTGGCAGCAATCCAGACTGTCTCGGTTGTCTCCATCTCGTGTCCCTGTTTTTGGCAATTCATTTGTTAAGTCTTAATAGGGACGAGGTGGGTCAGCCCGGCCTTTTCCAACTGTGGATGGAGAAGAAACCCTGGCCTTCACTGGTCTCTTGTGCTAGTCTTTCTCCAAGACTTGAATTAAAGTATCGCCAATGCTTTAATTGTGGGTATAGGCCAAGGACCATCTGCGGTGAATTTGGGTTACCCTGCCTTAAATCCGTACTTTTCGCAACACGAAAAGCTCTCCTTGAAATAAGCAAGGATCTCTCTTGGCTGACCTTGTGGCTCTTTACAGTCCACCGAATCGTCACGATACGCAAAAAAAAAAGTAAGAGGCGGCTAGACACCCTGGCTGGAAAAATCCCGTTCTTCTCATTCTTGCAGGCCAAGCATGAAGCTCGTAAAATTCAAGAAGGGAGACAGCGTTGGCTTGAGGTTGGCTGGTGGCAATGACGTTGGCATATTTGTGGCTGGCGTTTTGGAGGACAGCCCCGCTGCCAAGGAAGGCTTGGAAGAAGGCGATCAGATTCTCAGGGTAGGTGGGCAGCCCTGTTTTTGTTCCAATCCAGCTGCAAGACCTGCAGCTGTTACATCGAAGGCCATCAAAGAAATACCTGGTTGTATCTGTACAAGCAGGATTGAATTGTGGGGTCCTGGGTGCTCTCTGAGCTTGGATGATTCCTAGCAGATGTTTCATGACCAACTACGGTAGGTAACATCAGTGCTATAAGGGAGGGGGATTTGCAGAGTGGAGGAGCTCTTTGACCTTTGGTGCTCTTTGACCTTGGTTGCTTTCTTGCCCTGATTAAGTTCCCTAGTTGGGTAATGAAACATCTGCAAGAAAATACGTTTAGAGATCACCGAGGACCTCAAAGTTCTCTTCGTCCTATACTCCGCAAACCCCACTCTCTTCGAGCACTGATGATGCTACCTAGTTGGGTCATGAAACATCTGCAAGCAAACAGCCAAGTTCAGAGAGCTCCACCCATCAGGAAATGTTGGAGATCAGCGAAGAAGTTTACCGTAAGAAGGCTAAGGATGTGCACTGGGGAGACATCTGCAGGTGGCTGTGAAAGGCACCGTCCAATAATAGAACATCTGGAACATGACTCAATAGGACATAAACTCAGCCGAGCGGTTTCAGAAAAATAGATGGCTGCCTACTTGGATTCGTTGCGTTGATCAATTTATTTTTGTAATGTTGATGTTCCTTTTGGGGCACCAGGTAAATAACGTCGACTTCACTAACATCATCCGGGAAGAAGCGGTTCTCTTCTTGCTTGACCTACCCAAAGGAGAAGAAGTCACCATTTTGGCACAGAAGAAGAAAGATGGTGAGTCAACAGTCTTTGGTGCCCTGGGTAGACTCACTGGGCAGGCGATGGGAGCCTTCCTCCTCCTCCCCTCTTCTTCTGTCTCCCTAACAGTTTATCGGCGCATCGTGGAATCCGACGTGGGGGATTCTTTCTACATCCGAACTCACTTTGAGTATGAGAAGGAGTCTCCTTATGGCCTCAGCTTCAACAAAGGGGAGGTCTTCCGCGTGGTGGACACACTGTACAATGGCAAGCTGGGCTCCTGGCTGGCCATCCGGATTGGCAAGAATCATAAGGAAGTGGAAAGAGGCATCATACCCAACAAAAATAGGTATGTTCAAGCATTGTTCTTCAAGCCGACCTCTGACTAGGCAGCTGAAGTTGTATTTGGAACCCTGTTTTGTCATTCAGTTGCTTAGTTGTGTCTGACACTTCGCAACACCGTGGACCACAACACACCAGCCCCCCCCCCCTCCCGTCGTCCACTGCCTTCCAGAGTTCTGTTCTGACCCAGGCTTCATAAACTGTAATTATTCACAAACTTGTTTTAAAAGCAAAACCTATTTTATTGCAACGCTGGGAACTGTTTTCATTCCCAGCCAGAACTAATTATAAACAGTTCCCCAAGATAAGCACATGCCTTTCACTGCTGTGGAATGCTGGCAAAAACAGAAGTATCAAATGAACTAGAAAAGAAACCAACCAAAGTACAAGAAAAAGCAACCAGATTACACAGAGCTTCAAGGAGGAGTTTTCTCCAATTCCCATTTTCGCTTTGGTTACATTGGAATTGGGCAACTGTCTTTCTTGAGGTCATCCTCCCCTCCCTTTGTGGGTTTCTCCACTGTTTTGTGTTCTGGTCTGTTTCACCCAGAGCTGAACAGCTGGCCAGTGTCCAGTACACCCTTCCAAAGACCGCAGGGGGGGATCGAGCGGATTTCTGGAGATTCCGAGGTCTGCGCAGCTCCAAGCGAAACCTGAGAAAAAGTAGAGAAGATCTGTCTGCCCAGCCAGTCCAGACCAAGTTTCCTGCCTACGAGAGGGTGGTCCTCCGAGAAGGTGGGTTTCAAGAAGAAACAGCTGAATAAAACGAGAGTTGGAGGGGATCCTCAAAGTCATCTAGTCCACCCCCCCACCCAACCCCTGCTCAAGCAGGAGACCGTTGCAGAATCACAGAATAGCAGAGTTTCAATCCTTTTCAGATCTTTATTTTTCATCCTGAAAGGTTCCTAGGGATCAGTTCAAACTCAGAAACTCGATCTCCAACCTTGATAGGACATCAAGATTGTGACGTTGCATCTGTTCCTCTATTTGATGTTCTCCAAAAGCGGTTTGGGACTCCAGTTTCCTCCCATTCTCAGCCGGGACACAGTCTAGGCCCCAACCTTTCTCGCAAACCGACACATCGCTCAATATTTTTCAGGAGACAACTTTCTCGCTTTCTCGTTCTAGCTGGATTTCTCAGGCCGGTGACCATCTTTGGACCAATTGCCGACGTTGCGCGAGAAAAGCTGGCTCGTGAGGAGCCTGACATTTACCAGATCGCCAGTAAGCCATCTTGCTGCTTCCTTGAATCCGTTGCCGCTTTTCTCAGTCGAGCAAAAGGCTCCACTAGCTCGGAGGAGCGATAGCAATAGCCCTTAGACTTATATACCACTTCACAGGGCTTCACAGCCCTCTCTAAGCCATTTGCCCCCAAAAATCTGGGTCCTCATTTTACCCACCTCGGAAGGATGGAAGGCTGAGTCCACCTCGAACCGGTCAGGATTGAACTGCTGGCAGTCAGCAGAGTCAGCCTGCAATACTGCATTCTAACCACTAGGAAGGAAGGAAAGGAAGGAAGGAAGGAAAGGAAGGAAGGAAGGAAGGAAGGAAGGAAGGAAGGAA